TTTTTTTTTGGCTTATTGAATTTGCTTTGGTAGAAATTTAATCTCTATTACAGTGTTCCAGTGCAAATGTGAGGTATGGTCATAAATTGTTCTGGACATATGAGACTTGAATATTATCACCTCATTGGGTGGATGTATGTAAATGAACTGATTGTGGCACCTGTTCTTGATACTTTGACATTTTAGACATATAGTTTACTTAGGGCCTTGCATCCATTCTCTGTAACTGTTTAAACCAACACTTTCAGATCTTGTGTAAATGTATTTCTAAGATTCATGTGTCATGAGAGAAAGTAGCACTTATATGAGGGGCCCGAAGGTCTGGAACTTGTTTCTGGTAAATTCCAGGATTTGTTTCATGAAGCCTTTCCCAAACCTAGAGATCGGAAAAGAGTCTCTAATCTTGCTAGCTTCAGAATGGTTAGTTAACGTGGCAAGACTCGGAAAAGTTTGTGTTTGTCTTTAATACGTTTTTTTCTGTGGTTATAATGGATGGGAGAAACCATAAGAAGTTAAATACATTTTAATAAGTAACAATAAATACATTAGAGCAATTTCTCTTAATTATCCAGTTAATGATTACTTAGCTTTTGCTCATTCTTTTTTCTCCCATTTTCTTTATCTACCTTTGGACTATTTTATGTCTCTACATTATACCGCAGGATATTCATGGAAAAAAAAGAGAGTAAAACCTATTCCTCTCTACTTTTTACCTGTTACTGTCCCTGGATACTTCTAAAGTTACTTGTAAATCTTCCCAAAGATACCTTGTTTTATGTAACTAAAATTAATAATAAAATATCATTGTAACTTATTGAAAGATGTTTTTATGTATATATTTTAGTTTTTTTCTCATTGATTTTATACTATTTTCATAGAAACCAAATAACTGGTTCACCTACTCCCCCTTGTGGTAGATATTTAGTTTTAGCCAAAATGATTTTACTTTTAGTAATTGACCCTTGCTATTACTTTACCAGTGAGAACAGATATTTGGATAGTACAAAACAGATTTTAAAAAGCATTTGGATTGAGCTTTGTAATAATTAGGAGGGTGTGGCTAGTGCTGCTTAACCCCAGTTGCATGTTAGGATTGCTGCAGAGCCTGGACCACTCCCCAAGAGTCCCTCTCACCTGTCTGGGCCAGGCATTTACATTTTGAATAAAATTAAATTACTTTACCTTTAAAATTTAATTTAAAAATACTTAGGTTATTCTGATATGTAGTCAGGGTTGCAAACCACTTATGTAGATTATGAGCTTCTACAACTAAACAAATCAGTATACAGGGAGAGAGCATATCATAATTTCTAATGGCAGTCTGTTACCTGTCTCATATAGTGTGCAAAGCACTTTTACATATTTTATGTGATTTTTTCCAAGGACCACTTTTGTATAGTAGGCAATGGTCTTTAGACAGTAACTAACTGATTTCAGATTGGAACCAGAATTGGAAACCAAGATATCTGACCTTAAATCTACCATCTTTCTCACCACACCAGTGTTTCATCCTCAGAGTTCTCAAATGATGGGAGGGATCTTGAATTTATTTCATCTTTAGAGCTCTTCTAGTTACATATTATGAAGTACTTTTTGCCTGTGGCTGGGTTCTATAAATTCATCTTACACAAAATACTCAAGGTACAGTGAACTTCATTCCAACGTAGTGTGAAGCTCGCAGGTTTCTGTACTTGTCAGCACCATGCTATCAAACTGTTGGATGTCATATGAGGTCCACATAGATGTAAATAAGAAATACAGGTATTGCATAGACACTTGATACCTAACTTAATTATTGGCCTTTATGTATAAGCTTTGGTTACCGACTAACTGGTAGATGATAAATGAGCCAGATTAGATCCAATTACTACAAGAGAAAACAAGTCTCTAGATTTTAATATATTGGAATTTTATTATATTTGTTATTGCTCTCAATAAATGGGCTTTTGCTAGCCTTAAAGATTATTTTTAATGTTATATAGGATACCTAGGTATTTCTAATAACTGTATTTGTTTTAATAAACTTTGACTTCTGTGTATGTTTCTATTTTCTCTTTAATATTTAGCTATTAAAAGTCATAGTCAAATGTTAACATTTTCTTTTCTTTTTTAAAAATATGTTACAAAAACTAAGTCTTTATTTCATAGAAAAATCTTTCTTCACATTGGTGAATAAAAAACTTTGGAATCTGTTGAATACGAAGTCAAATTTATGCTTTATCTGGCCTGTTAACATCATCTTCTTTTGGATACTGTTTCATTTTTTCCATTGACAACTTGTACCTTTCTATCAAATATATATTACTTTTATGTTTATTTGAATATTTATGCTCTTTTTTCATCTCTTTCACTAGCCCATTGTTTTTTGATCGAAGAAGTTGCACATGCGTATGGTTAAAACACACTTTAGACAAAAGCATATAATGATGAAAATGTTTCCTTTTCACCTTAGACCTTTCAGTTTCCTTCCTCAGAAGCAGCTATGTATGCTTTTCCAGTTTTCTGTGTCTTATTTTCCTGTTGTTTACTTAATACAGATGTCAGATATGAGTTGTAATAATCAGCATTGCACTACAATTTTTGTCGTACACTTGATGTGTTCTAGTTGTGTATCACATTCTAAATAAATGAGATATTGGTGACATGGCTATTTAAATTCTGCCTTTTATTAATGCATTTTTTTAAAAAAATTTATTTTCAATATGTTAATTGCTGTTCAGATTATTAAATATTGATAACTAAAGGTATGCGTCCATGTTGCTTTAAAATTAATTCCATCCACTTTAAAAAAAATCAAACAGTGTTTGCACTAGATATTAAGGCCTACTGTTTATTACATGTGTATTTATATTGTTTGTGAAACAAATTCTTTGTATGTTAATGAAATTGTTTTTGTCTTTTATTATTAACCATCTTGTCTTGAGGTGATTTGAAAAACAAGTTATATGAAAAAAACATTAAGAAATTTTCTTAAACTTTAAACCTTATTTCCAAAAGTTGCCACTTCGCTTTTAGACAATAAGCAGAAAGCAAGAAAAAGGAAGAGACCAGTGGCATCCTTAGGTGAGGAGCAGCCTATCTAGTCCCTTTTGACCTAGAACTTTGAAATCTAGACTCTCTCTGTTAATAAGGCAGTTTGAAATAAGGAATAGAAGCCTTGATTTCCAGATTCATAGCACCTTTATTGTGCTTATGCATTCAGTCTTATAGGAAACACAGAATACTATCAATATTGACCTTTTTAAAAAAAGTTAACCTCTTATCTATAAAATATAAAAGTCTCTTATGTTTTACATTCAGTGGGTCACCTTATGGAGTAAAAGAGAAATTAGATGAATAGAACAATATTTTCTTACTGTGTACATAATGTTAAGTAATTGTAGCTTAACTTAAATATTTTTAAGTAAGGAAAAACTTTAGTTTTTCTTAACGTTCTTTGTGTTGACTGTTAAAAAGTGACATCACTATTTTTTTTGAAAAAAAAATTCCTTTTTACTCAGTTATTGGTGGTAATAATAAGGAATTACAAGCGGTCTTAAATGATTTTGGACAGAAGTTCCAGTTTTCAAATGAAGGTTAACAGTTCGTAGTGAGGAAACAAAAAACAAGAAGCAAAGTGCTTAAGATTGCATCAATCAGAACAATTTATTTTAAAAAGTATGAAAATATTGCAAAGGAAGTTAATTCTATTTGTTGTGGTTTGATGAATCAAATACCTTTTTATTTACTCTTTATCTAGCTGAATACATTTTTCAAGCAAAATCAGTTTTGTTTTTTTGAAAAATACTAACCAAATACAATATGACAGTAATATACAGGTTAAAGCATTATCCTTACCCGATTTTGGCTTGAAGATTATATCTGAATATTTTGGTTAAATTTTTATAGTTTGAGTATTTCCTAGATCATTAATCATTTTTTCCTTCTATCTTTTGAACATTCAAACATAATACATAACTGATTTTTTTTGTTGTTGTTTTAAAGTACTTAGACTTTAGAAACAACTCCAGTATGCACTGTATGAGGGTACTTTCATGAACTTTTTGAAGTACGCTTGTACTTTAATGAGGGGGGGTGGGCAGGAGGCACGTCCAGTTAAGTATTTCCTAAAGGTACAGAAAAGAAATAACACACATACACCCTTTTTTCTATGAGACCAATCTCAAAAATGTCAGATGGAAAACCTGATTGGCTCAATTTCAGAAGTTGGAAAGGAACTAGCATAACTAGATGTGATTAAGTGTTATTTTCATGTGTGTCACTGGGGTGGGTGGTCTGTACAGTAGCTTCAGGAAACAGTAAGTCCTCATATTCTCAGTGAGCCTACGTAACAGCTTGGGGAAAAGTTCCATCCCAAGACCATCTCTGGGACCTACAAAGCTCTTCCCTATTCCTTTTCCTGGGAGGTTACTCCATCCATGGTCATGTGTAAAAAGAAATACCAAGTGAAAAGTGAAGTATGCTGGAACACGAGTCAAATCAGCTCTGCCGCAAGTGCCTGTTGGCCACATTCTGCTAGACACTGGGATCTTCAAAATGCACAGAATGTGGTCTTGGCCCTCAGGGCTCGGAGAGGGGATGGTCTGAGACATTTATATAATATTACCTATGTCAGCGTATGGCTTCAGGAATTTTAGAATTACCAAATTTTTCGCACATGATAAGTGAAAATAATGGTAAAGAACTTAAACTTCATAGGAATTATTCTCTTGGCAGTAATGTCCTGCCAGATAAGCTACTCCCTTGGGAGAACTATGTAGGTTTCAACCTTATGCACAATAGGATATTTTGATAGAAAACTCAGGTGAGCTTTTTTTTCTTTTCTTACATCAAAGCAATGTAAATAGATTTTCATTCAACTTTTAAATTGGTGGCTAGCAGGTATTCGCATATTTCAAGCTCTTTTAAGTGCCCCTGTGATAGATAAATGAGCAGAAATTAAAATAGCTCTGTAAGAGCATATTATTAATATTTTTATAAAAATGCTGATACAATTGCAGGTCCTTTTGGAATAAATCATGGGATTGAGCTTCATTCAGATGTGGTGGAATATGCCAAGGAAAAACTGGAGAGCTTCATCAAAAATAGTGATAGCTTTGATAAGTAAGTATTAATATCAGTAGTTTTGGTTTGAAATCACTTAGTAAATTATGTGTAACATGTCTTCTTGAACACTCAGTTTATTATTGATCTTAAATTGCTCAATTAAATGCAGCAAAAATCAGTTCATTATAAAATGAGAGAAATTAGGAAAATTATCCTATGCTATAATTTTTATTCCACGTAATTCTATAGTAAATTATAAATAAACTTTAGTAATTTTATGTTACTGTCACTTCATTAGTAATATTCCATTTATTAAACATACAAGTATCTTTTCTGGGGATAAAATGTAAAGATGCTTATGATTCCAGAACTTTTCTAGAACTGGTTTTATACCTTTTGGATTTGTAACATAAGGGTGGTACCTGTCAACATAGAAAGGACTTTCTTCAAAATATTCAGTTACTTTGTAATATATCCAGAAGAAATTATCATAGAAATACAATGATATAATCTTGTGAAAAGATTGTATTTGATAAATATGCTTATAAAACCATGTTTTTGAACTCAATGTATTTCCCTTTAGAAGAAATATTGCACATACTAAGGGTTGGCAGGGGACGTCTGTTTGGTGTGTAATCTTACTGAAATTCGTCATTGATAATGCTGTGAAGCAAGGACTCTTATGCTGAAGTCCATGAACTCTGAAATTATATAAAATTTGGAGAGCTTTCATATCTCTCATTTTTCTGTATAACTTGTCATATTTTCAAAGAGGAAACACAAGCTTGGAACATAGTCACTTTGTATAACAAAGTTTTAGTGCAAAAAGTATTCCAAATTGCAACTTGGCTTTCTGGGAGTGGGCCCCCACTCATCTTCAACCCCTGGCTGTGACTGTCCAGGTGAGAAACATGGAGGGCTTTCCTCTAGAGAGAACTGGCTTGGGAGACAGTGCCAAGAAGAGCCTGTGAACATCTTCAGGGGAGTGTATTTTCCTTCTTCCTTTCTTTCTCAGCCTCCCCTTCCCTTTTTCCTTGCACTTTTATTTCATTCTCCTTTGCCATTGCCAGTTTGTATCTATCCTTTGGCAAGTGGCACTTGATTGGTTGAAGAACAGAAAACTTGTGCTGCAGCAAAATCCTCAGTGCTTAGAGGGGTGACGAAGTCCCTTGTCTACCTAGGTGTGATTATAATTGGCTTATTAAAGACCTCAGGCGAGCAGGTTTGGGAGAGTTGGGAAATACTCAGGTTTTATTTTTTTGATAATTAACTCACTGGGTTTGTGCAAATCTTCTGGATCAATTTGCTGAACACCATCTTTATCTTATTTGTGATTGTCTTTATAAATAATTAACATTTACTTCATATTTTGAATCATTTTTCAACTGCTTACTGTGTTGGTTCATATTCTATTTCCAAGAAAACATGTTTGACAGAAATAAAAGATTTTAGCCCAAGTTATTTGGTAAGAAATTGGGATTCAATTTTAGCATCCTTTTGTGTCTTTATCGTTTATCTCTGTCTTAAGATTAGTAGTGATAAATGCTTAAGATGTGGAAATGAATCTTTTTTATATGATTACTAGACTGTTGAATTTTGAATTTATTGAATTCCTATTAATTATTTTCTTAAAACTTCATGTGCCTATAAGTGTCCTTTTGAATGCATTTGAACTTATAAAATACAAAAGTAATATTAATAAAAGCAAATGTTTATAAGATCTTTTGTATGGTCTGTTATATGTTAGTTATTAATATATTTCATCTGTTAATAAATGAAGACACAGATAAGTCAGTTTTGGGTCATTCATTGTGCAGTACAGACTCAAAGAAGGACTTTAAGTCACTAACACAACTCTACAAGTATATGTGGAGCTCAAGTTTATTGCTGATAAATGGGTATAGTCCTTGGAAACAGTAAAGCATTTCTGTGTTGATATTATTTAAATATTACTCTATAACAGATACATTTGAAGGCTATCAATTTTTTTATAGTTAATAACAATGTATTGTATTCTTGAAAACTGGTAAGAGTAAGTTTTAAGTTTTCTTATACAAAAAAACATATGAAGTGATGCATATGTTAATTAGCTAAATTTAGCCATTTCACAGAGTATACACATTTGAAAACAACATACTGTGTACAATATATATAATTTTTGTCAATTTAAGTAAATAAATAGGAAAAATGTTCAAATATATTTCGTGAATGTGTCTTAGAGTAATAAGGAAAAGTTTGAGGTATTCATCATAGAATTGTTTATAAAATTAAAGCTACAATATAAATATTTGACTGTCCAAAAATGTTTATTAAACTCAGTCCCCAGCGCAAGATTGTGTAGCCAGTAATGACATGGTTGAAATAATTTTTATTTATTTATTTTTTTATTTGTCATTATACAATGTAATTGATTTTCATGGCCCTCTACCAATTCCTCCCTCTCTCCCCTCCCTCTCCCCCTTTCTATTTCAGTTTTTAAAAGTTATCTGAAATTGTTTTCATGTAATTGTGAAATGATCAAATGTCCTTTGCTTGTATTTCTTGAGTTTTATTTGGTTACTGTTGTACAGGTTTGTAATTCATAAAATGATGAATCATTAAATTCAGTGATATGACAGATCTAAATGTTTCTCTATAATTTTAATGGTCTTATTATTTTATAATAAACCTTATGATGCAGTTCATTTTTGAAGTGTTACAACTTATTTTTGAAACAGATTCATATATTAATGAAGTAGTCTGAAGAAGACACTTCTGAAAATTCTAGTTTTCAAGCAGTGTTCTGAAATATGACTGTTATGTGTTTCAGATTATAAAGGTACCTGTATACAAAGAATAGTAGGTACCAGGAAAATGTTAAATTTTGCATAAAGCAGTGAGTGGTTGGAAGTTAATCAAAGTTAATGGATCATTCATTGGGCTCTATTATTCTTTTTATTAATTTGGTTGGTGACATTTTAAAGGTATAGTATTATTTTTTCCTGTTTTACTTGTGTTTTGATGATTTCTTTGGAATTTTTCTTGATGTTTGTAGGTAATATTTCTATTTTCAATTTTTAAAAAAAATTTTAAAACTTGCTGTGCAAAGTGATTTTAAAAATCCTATTTCTAAGTGGTTTCATTATACTGTGTGTGGGTCATCAAAATATATATTTTAATTAACAAAATATAAAGTAACTGAGGAAAATAGTTATCTATGTATTCCTTAGTACCAGATTATTTGTGATTGTGTGTAACATGGAGAGAATAAATGCCTAATACTTTTCCAATCTTACTTGTCTTGTTGGTTTGGATCTTTATCAGTTTCTTTTTCAAAAGTACTGTCATGTCACTTATGATTTGAACTGCATTTTTAAGTTTTCTTACATACATTTATTGGAGATCATAGTCAACTCCTAAATACTGTAGAGGGGGTGGGGGTAGGGGAGTCCATAATCTAATCATCATTAGAATATATAATGTGAGGACCTTTTTTTTTTTTTTTTTTTTTTTTTTCCGTGTCCGGCAACGGA